GATTTTGAGGCATTTTTGCTCCGCAAAATATTTTGTCTTCACATTTCCAGTTTTTTTTTTTTTTTTTTGCTGTTTATTTATTAGTCCAAAGAGGCATTTTGCCCAGAAGTACTATTAATTTCGTTTAGGCATTTTGTGTTGATTCACTATAAATGTCGGTTCACTTTTCAAATTGTTGCCTCCAAATATTATCGCCCTGTGTTATATTTAAAGAAATTAAATAATGAAGAATGCGTAAATTTATGTATGCTTCTCGCATTGTGATATAACAAAGGATGCTTAATAATGCTTAATGGCCATCAAATTTTGAATAACGTAGTCTTCCACCGAATATGGGCATCTGGAAGCCCTAATTTGGAATTTGAAATTTGTTTTATTAGAGATTTCATACTTTATAGCAAGTTAACGAATTTTTGATTAACAATCGCAACGATTTCAAAGCGAGCAATGGCAACACTGTATGAAAAAAAAAACATTTTTATCTCCAGCGCACGAGACTGTGTATCGGAAATTCTAAGGATATGCTCATTTAAAAATTATTTTGCGGTATTTCTGTTGAATTGTATTTTATTGCTTAAGTGCAAAGAACATGCTATTTAATAAATAAAAGTAGCACACAAAACATTAAAAAACGCCCAATTGAGCGTAATGTAAAATCTGAAAGATTTCAAACTTTTTTCCATTCTTTATTTTTTATTGCTTTTTATTTGCCGAAATATTTAATTGCGATAAAAATGTTTTATTTTATTTCTTTATCGCTGTTGTGTTAAAAGCGAAAATAGTAATTCGTAATAGTTTGGTAGTAATTAATTGCGGCAAAGCACACAAAGACTATCGGCTTGTCAGGGAAGAAAGTACCGTAGCAAAGTATTTTCGAAGGAAATCGTGTTCTCGCTAACTAGGAATACACATGAGAAATAACAATAGGTAAACTCCCTTTCGGCAAACTCATTCTGTCGGAAATCTACTCCCAAACTAAATAAAAAGTGTTTAGAAGTTTTATTCACCTTCTAGCCAGTGAATGTATTAATGTAACAAAATAAGTCACATTATAGTGATCTTGATTAGAAATTTTCAAACTATTTTTAGCTACAGAGGGCATATATTTAAGGCAACTTACTATTGCGTATTTTGGTGAGATTTTCCTCAATTTGCGGATGAATTCATTTGTTTCAGTGTATAAAAGGGATGATAATTAATAAGCGGGTGGAAAAGTTTGCTTTGGTTGAAACCCGGGAATTATTCTTCAGCTACACAGAAATGGTGGGACATGAAATTATAAACATGATACAAGACCAGAATTAATATTATTTGGAAGATAAGGACGTTGCGCAAAATTGTCGCTCATCATTTTGATCGCTTCATACAAATTGATAACTGTGGCATTGTAGAATTATTCCGGTAAGTATTCATGCCAAGCAGTTAGTGTGAAACATACGACATTAATAGTTTTCTACACATCTCTTAAATAAAGGGCATAAAGAATGAACCCCGAATTTTACTGTTTTCTTTCTATTTATGAAAAAATTAGCTTTCACATGAAAGCTATATTTAATATATCTCTTTGTTCTTTGCAATCTCGGTCTATAGATCCGAGCGTACTACAGCGTGTTAATCTCAAAACAGGCAGGAAACAAAATCATTATATGAGTCTTACATTTCTGTTATATGACTTTATTGTTAAGGTCTGTTCATTGTTACTGACGTTTCAAGGGAGAACAGAGAATAGTGAGTAGTGGAGGGTACGAGGTATCTAAATCAACTGGAATAATAGACAGAACTGAAAACAAAGTAAAATTATAGAATTATAAGACTCATATAATGATTTTGTTTCTTACTTGTTTTAAAACGAATGCACTGTAGTTTTACTTTGCTCCTACTTAAGTCATTTATTTCTTGACTTCCGGGTATTCACAACAAGTAGTAATCAAATAAAACAAAGATACTTCACTGTTTTTAATTAATTAATAATGCTTCTACTTACTTGTCCGAGATCAAAACATGATACTTTTTGACATGATTTAGAAATAAGGAATCATTCACATTCTTGTGCGAGTAGCAAAGGTATTTCAGGAAAAATTGTGGATCACTACCTCACTTCGAAATATTATTTCATTTTTGTATCATCTAACTTCTTTAATACTTTCCGAAAAACAAAGTTAATTTTTAACAATCTTAATGTTCAAAACTATAATTCCAAATGCGTTTTTCATCCAAGAAATCATTCATGGAGAAACACATGAGAAGTCACGTAACAAATGAAGTTCTTTATCAATCAAGTCTGAGTTCAATTAACATAAAACAAAATCATAAAGAATTGACATCAGATTTGTTAGAAAGTGTCTCGATTTTATAACAGGAGTAGGACAGATTATGAAAACTGTGCTGTTAACTATACCGTTAATGTACGATTCCAACCTTTGAGTTACATAAGAACGAGGAACCTTAAGAAAAGGTAAGCGAATAATCGTTTAGTTCAGTAGAGAGAGAGCAGAAATCAAGAAGGGTTAAATACCCTTTATTATTCAAAATAAATTTAATAGACGACTCTATAGAATTAAGTAGATAAAATATTTTAGAAGTACAAAAGCTTAAAATTTATAATATGATTTGTATATGTGAGGAAACACGTACACATATGAGAATTTTCTAGTTTCCAATGAATGCAAAAATAATATATATATAAACAATTGAATAAACTTTTCTTTTTTACATTTCAGTGAGATTCTTGTTATTTAAATACGGAATTTATGCTTCGAAACATATTCCAGTCACATATACTTCTCTAAGTTCCTTTTCAATATCTTAGTTTTTTTAAATAAAAGAAAATACGGGCAGTAATATTCATTCGCTTAAAGGAAATTTTACAATTACATATATTATAATTCTACTGAGATGGTGTTGGTGTATTTAATTATGGCAAAGCACACTAGGGCTATCTGCCTAAGAGGAGGGATGCCTTCGTGGAGGACTTTCTAAGGGAAACTGGCTCGTATGCACGTTACACATGGGGAAAACCACGAAAACACCCATGCAGCCAGCCCGTTCGCGAGATTCGAACCTCGGACCGAACTACCAGTGTTCAGCGACTTTACCGCTCGGCCGCTGGTGGGCTTTCTACTGAGATGAAAGTGCTTTTCGTTTATTCAGAGTTTCAGTTAAAGACTTGCGATGAAGCATTATATTTCTCTCTTTCTTACGCATAGGATTTCACACTTCTCATCTCACGAAGAAACCATTTGTAATGTCAGTGTGGTTTTCCTTAATTTATAGCATGCAACAATTTCTTAAATGGAACTAAAAGTTTATTTATACAGAAAATCGTCTTTCTCTCCAATCATTCTATTCCCTATGGGTTCTTATAAGTGGTATAAAAAATTTAAATTTATGTTTTTAATTTTGTACTTCCTTTTTTAGTTTATTTTTCATAGTATGATTCAATTTCATTTTCTTGTAATACTAAAACTTGCTTAAATAAGCACTGAAAAGCGAGCTTCTTATAAATAAGTTTAAAAATATGTAGATTGAGTCGAAACATAGAAAGATTTATTTGAATGTGTTCATCTTTAGCGTTCGGGAAGCAGGTTTACTGCGCAGACTTTAATTGGTATTCCTACCCAGTTATTGATAAAATGAAGAAAATTATCCCTCTCGAAATAAATTTAGAACATTATAATGCTCTAAGCATCATTCTGTGTGTTGAATGCAATTATATAATTTTCAGCTGTTTAACTTTCGCAATGTAACTTGATTGGATCAAATTAATCATAGGCGTTAGGTAATTCTGGCAGCGTAATGCTTTAATACGATATTAATGCACTGAATAACATGACAAGTTTCCCGTTTAGATTGACAGATGGATAGTGAATGGAAGTCTTATCGGTGCTTAAATTAATCTTTCGACTAAGTATTATTGGCAGAAAATACACCAGTTCTAGTGTATGAAATGAAGTCAGTGTTTAATGTGTAGTTGAGGATAAACTCTCCCCCTGTGTTTGATGGATAATGAGACTGACTATGCTAAGCTTGTAAAAACAGTATTTTTTATATCCAGAATGAAGCAGGTAATAAATAAAATGCCAAATTTATGTAAATCCTAAGAAAACATATGCGCTTACTTCTTGAAATTTGAAAGTTTGGAGATTAGAATTGTGGCAACTTAGATTTTGCTTCTCGTATGTATATTTCCTACAACCACTTTGGTTAACATTGGAAATTATTATTAACATTAACATTGGAAACTTTTTTATTATCTCATATATACTTGCCATTTTGTTCGAGCTAGATAATAGTTTCCAATGTGCATACATAAATTAAAAGGAACAGTTTTCTTCATTTAGAAGACATTGTGCTAATAATAGTTCTAAAACCCTTTTAAAATGTTTGCAACTTAAGACGAGTAATTTGATTTATGTAATAATTTGAACAATAAGAACATTTAGGACAATCAAAACATTGGTGCAGTTTTTCTGTAGAGTTACCAAATGCAGGAAAAATGATTTTAGCTGTTGCTCTGGACAACAAAGATGATGAAGAATAAAATATTAAAGCTGCTTGATTGTTAGAAAATATGTAATTTACAGTATTTAACATACGGAAGAAAAAATATGCTCATTCTTTTTCTAGCGGCAAAACCTGCAGAATAACAGTACAAATAGTTGGTTGTTCCAACTAACTTGTGTAAAATAAATACGTTAGAAGTGTGTCCTCACACTAAAGTTGAGTGATGACTCATAACTAAGGATCCGCAAAGTTCTGTTTTGCAGCTTCTATCATGATGCCATCTGGAATTCTCTTGCCAGATACATCCCAGAGGAAACCAAGAGTTGCATATATAGATAGAGAATAAGATTTAATGCTCAAAATTCTTTCAAAAAATTTTCTAGAATAAGTAATAGTAACATACGTTAATTTACACTATTTGTGTTATAGGAAAATCTAAAGTATCCAACATTTACTTGTTACGAAAAGCCAATCAGCGGAAAAGAAATTTTACTTACCGCTTATAAAAGCTGGAATTGTCTTGTAGTTGTTTTGAGTAAGCAGGAGTCAGCAGGTTAAATCTGTCCACTGCAAAAGAAAACATTTTCTTGTTTATAATCATAAATGTCGAACAAAGATTAAATAGTATCTCGTTCATGAGGTCTTTCAATTCAATTACTACACGCACTGCATATCGATATTTTACGCATTCTACATTGTTAAGTATTAATCAGCGAAGAAATTTGCATGTACGTATAAATAAAGGTAATTGGATAACTTATTCTTGTCCAAATTAAAGCAGATCGATACCTGAATATAAATAAAGCAAATTGAGCAAGTTATTTCCCATTCATTTAAAGCACCGCGAGAAAATGGTGAGCCAATTTGCTTTTATTGCTTTTATTTTCCTTTATTAAAGAAGAATGATAGTTATTTGCATTATACTCAGTAGCTTTATTTGATCCTAATGCGCATTTAATTTTGATTCTGATAGCATTCTTAGAACAGTTAATAATGAATATTTTTTTCCTTGTTTAAATCGTCATTATTTTCGATTGAGGGTGGAAATTGTTTCTAAACAAGAATCATAGTTTGGGAATACCGTTCGTTCACTGTTACATTTTTATAATGCCGACTCACAAAATCACAGGAATAATATTCTCTTCTAAGATTCCAAACCATACTCTCTGGGCTAATCTGAAATTTCAAACCTTATTCTCAAGGACAAATTTTCCCTACTATAATAATTTTATCACACTTGCTCATAAAATTCAGAAGCAATATGCTTTGTACCTGGTGTGATTCACGTGCTATTATACACAAAGAGTATCCGGAAAAAGGTAAAACCCTCGACAGTAAACTGTAGAGCAAGATGTTAGTCCGTGTTGATACTTATATCAAGGAAAAACGTGGAACTGAGTTCTGGCGCAAGAAAGTAATGTTCTAACAAGATAATGCGAGACCACATGTGTCCTTATTCACTCTGTACGGACTCTGTACGGACTCGAATGAGTTCATTTGCCACACCTACCATATAGGCCCGATATCACTTCTTCGGACTTCTACCTTTTATTTAAACCTGCAGCTAAATCTTGCTGGTGCAATTTTCAACTTTGCACAGGACATCCGAAATGAGGTTGATCTGTTTTTGAACTCGCGGCCACCAGGTTTCATGGCCGAAGGCTTTGAAAAACTACGAAAACGTTGGCAGAAAATCATGGATTTGGGTGGTGATTACTACCCGCACTAAGGGCACTGTTTTCATATTTTTTCTAACTTTATTAAGAATATTTTTGGCGGAAAACTTTCTTTACAACACATTGGACTTTGAAAAGCTGTTCAAGAGGAATGGGATAAAATACCTAGGCTTTATTGTCTTGGAAACTGCGGTGTAGAAAGATAGTGAAGAATAAGGGCTATAAAATGGAACATTTAAAACACAAAAAGTTTAGGTAAAATATTTATGTCAATACAAAAAAGAAATCGTCTGAAAAATGTGTGAGCAGCCTCTGTATTATCTTAATTTATCTATATAACTTAGTTCTCTCACCCCTAATCTGTTCAGGATGAAAGTTTAGCTTATTACACCATTCTGAACTTTTTATTCCACTACTGTTTGCCTTTTAAGCTAAATCTGTACTATACGAATCATATTGTCATATGAATCATATGAAGTTTCGGCAAGATATAAAACGTCTTTTAACTCCACATGTAATTTCGTACCAACTTTCTAAACAATTCCAATGTAAAGGTTACTTTTAAAGAATAAACCGAGTTCTATTCCTCTTCATGTTGATTACTCTTAAACTTCTTCAATGATTTGGGGATTTTATTATCCTAGTGTTTCACTTAATGATATGCTAATCAGATTAATATAAAACATGTTTGGAACATAAGAATAACGTTGTTAAAGAACGAGTTTCCTGATTTATTTCTTCATTTAGATTTCGGATTGGGTGAGGGGATTCAGTGCAATGTTTCTAAACTTTTTATGCTTTATAAAGAGCGTTTTCGTATCAGAGATGAAAATTATTTAAATTATGTCAAACAAAATAATAACAATCTGGATGTTCAAAGAAAAAATAGAAATAATACTTTTGTGAAATTCTCGTTAAGAAACGTTGCTCTAGCTCAGGCACGATATTATATACCAAAGCTATTAATTTTACTGATAAAGAAAAAAACTATTGTCGTAGCTTAAAGCTTCTTGAGTTCGAATGCCGATTCATTAATTCTAAGGTCCCAAGTTTGACTTTTGGTAACAGCATAAACGATTGTTCAACGATTGCTTGCTCTCAACTGTTCTTACCTTTACAGAAGACATCAACTGTCGTTACGGTACACAGTTGTGAAGAAATGTGTAAGAAACTTAAATAAATAATTGGCCAAATATTTTAAAACAGAAAATATTTATCTAGCCAAATCGTAAATATTTATCAGTTAAATGAAAATGAACACGAATATACATGGAAATATTTTAAGTCCATTTGAATAGAACAAAATATGTTTAAGTCTTGTAGTTAAAATTGCTGAAGCCTGTAATATAATATTTAGGTTTTACTTTGAATATATTGAGAAATCGCAGTTATGAATTGCGAACTAATCGTCTAAATTTCAACCAAAACGGAAGAAAATTCAGAGGAAATTATGTTGATAATGAGCAAAAGTAAAATGATAGAATATAAACAATTATTTTAAAGTTTACATTTAATAGATAATAAAAATAATTTTCGAGAGTTAAATAGTCGTTTTTTTTTCTCTTGATAACTGACTCGAGAAATTAGGGATTACCAAAGTTTATGTAACAGCGGAAAAGAAGTAATTAAAATTTTATTCCTTTGTATTTCTTAAAGAGTCATTTTTTTCCTGAGATGTAAAAAAGCAAATTTTTAATTGTATATATGACATGATTTGCGGACTAATTTCCTTCTTACTTCGTAAAGTTGAAAGAAATTGCAATTTGAGACTGGGATTATAGCATTTTTATCTTAAAATTTCTTCCGGAGTTACAAAACTGTATAGAAATAATTAAAACATTTGGAAAATACCATTGTCATAGAAAAAGGAGGTACCTTTTTTAATATTTCTGAAACTGTTACTTAGTTTAAGATTTCTGAAACTTTTACTGTATGCACACACACACATACACACACACACACACACACACCATGGTTGGTCTATGGTGGAAAACGAGACATATGCTGCCACACCACCAAACCGAGAACCCCATGAAGAAATTGGAATTTTGGAAATCGTTTTGCACCAAAGTTCTTCAATTAGCTTCAGAATGATGATAAAACTCGTAAAATTTTAAAATTTCTTTTATTTAAGAAGTCCAGAATTTGCAAGGAAGGCGAGGACGCTATATGCACACATCCTCTTTTGGTTGCACAAATAAACACTGCTGTGTAATTGTCCTTTTTTGCTTGTATGAATAAAAACGAATGTGTGTATTCGTATGTCCTCTTTTTGATTGTATGAAAAAAACGAATGTGTGTATTCTTATGTTCTCTTTTGACTGTATCTATAAACACAACTATCATTAATGGTCTTTTTTTATTGCAAGAATAAACACAAAATATAACACGTTTAAAACCTTTATAACTCATTCCTTTAAATCACTTTGAGGTGCATGATTTACTGATTAATGTAATGAAAGGAGGTGTGTGTCTGTGTGTGTGTATATATATATACGCTATGAGCATTTAACATGTAGCCCAAGAAATAATTCTAATCAGGGTATTAATATACTACTGAGAAATTTTTGAAGATCTCCGAAAGAGGGTATTACTAATGTTTTGAAGAATGTTATCATTTTATGTAATAAACCCGAAAAGTGCATTTTTATAAGAGAAGAGCACTGCATTGAGCTAAACAACGAACATTTTAAATAAAGTGTTTCAAAAGTAAAATTATGTTTTAAAAGTAAACAGGCGCTATAATTACGGAAACAACGTTTTCGATCAGAAACTGCTTCAAGCACTTAAAAGTTTAGTAAAAAGAAGCTTCTTTTCATTTTTAAAGTTAATTTTCGGCTAGCAGACAAAAACTTCGTAATTTTTAAAGCGCTTGCAGTCAGTTAAATGTCAAATTATTTACTAGCGATGCTTTTTTTTTTGGCACAGATGCCTTTTTACTTTATTAAATTCACCCATTTACCAGATTTCAAAGAATGATCTGCTAAATATTTATTGTTTGTTTTGTTAAACTGGTTTTTCCCCCTAATCGTGCATCCGAGATTACTACTTTTCCTAGTATAAACTTCAGAATACCTCTGAACGTTTTAAATGAAAGGTGTATTAAAAGATTGCTAAACAAGTGATTCAGTTCTTCTGTAAAAAAATGCACAAAATGTCAAACTTTTATTCGAGTACATTCAGATTTTCATCCCATTACATTAAAACGCAACTGAGTATAAACACATACTGGCATTTTAAACTAGTGAAAAATAGGTAATGTAGTCAATGAATGATCAAAATTTAAATTCTGTAGTGCTATTTTCTTGAGAGAATTTCACTCATAAATAATGACAGGAGATTTCAAAAGAATGACATCAGGAACAACAAGCTTCGGATAAATTAAATCAGGAAAACCACACCTAAGTGTTTTTCGTTAACGTAACGATTCAAACACGCGGAAATTTACTCAAATGTATTCAAAAAATTCATAATAATTGAGAATTCAGAAGTTATTTTACCGCATGTCATGAGTAATAAATATATAACATTTTTCTTCAAATATTTCTTCGGAAGAGTTTTCCTTGTTTTATATTAACTAATAACTATATTTCAGAAAATTTCCTAAGTTAGACAGTACATCAGTCCACTTTCTAATACAAAACGCATATTATACGAATATTTAGTGGATCTTTCATGGATTTATTGTACACTTAAACGTCAATAAGCTTTAGGGAATTTTAAATGAGGGCAATGAAAGATACTGAACGAGTATCAGGATACTGAATATCAGCAAAAGCTATCCTTTACTTATTTTTGTCTAGACAAAAATCCTTAACTGGTATCCAAGGTTTGCCTGGGCTCTAAAGCTAGATCTCGAAAACTTGCGCCAAGCAGCTGCGCCACACATTC